ATGGTTCAGTCTAATAAAAACATGAAAGAACACGGACCACTGTTCCCATTTCCTAGGCTGAAAGAGTGAGGTGAGGCCACAGCCACAAAGAGAGGGTCACTGGGTCTCAGCTCCCACTGAGTCAGGACACTGTAGCCCAGAGATCAGAACACCATCCAATTCAGGGTCTTCCATAAAGACATAGGGAGGGGAAGGAGTAGGTTCAAGGATATTTGAAAACCATTAAGGACGAAGGTTCTTGCTTATTATTAACAATTTTTTTTTTTTTTTTGAGATGGAGTCTCACTCTGTCACCCAGGCTGGAGTGCAGTGGAGCATTCTTGGCTCACTGCAACCTCTGCCTCCCGGCTTCAAGCGATTCTTCTGTCTCAGCCTCTTGAGTAGCTGGGACTGCAGGCGTGCACCACAAAGCCCAGCTAATTTTTGTATTTTTGGTAGAGACAGTGTTTCATCATGCTGACCAGGCTGGTCTCGAACTCCTGACCTCAGTTGATGCACCTGCCTTGGCCTCCTAGAGTGCTGTGATTACAGGCGTGAGCCATCACACCCGGCTTCTTTCCGTATTTTTTAATGTAAGGATGCAACACCCTAGATTGAAGAGAACTCAGCCTTCTTAACTAGACGGATTGACTTTAAGTCTGGGTTCTGCTATGAGGGCAAGTCGTTTAGCCTATCTGAGCCTCAGTTTCTGTATCTGTAAAATGGGGATAATAATAACTACCTCCAGTGGTTTTAAGAATAAGAGGTAATGTAGGTAGAGAGAGGGTTGCACAGTGCTTAGCAAACTATAAGTTTGCAGCAAATGGCACCTATGTTATTTTCACCTCACATTTTCCACACATATTCTTGTTCATCTTCAACCATCTTTCCACTTCTGCAGCATTCTCTTTTGTAATAGGTGCACTTGTGTGCATCTCCCGTCTCACATGCACGATGCACTGGCAGAAGCACAGGATGGTGGCACACACTTCCTAGTAGTCCCTGAGTCCTCCACATCTTCCTGTGTCCACTACCAAGTGCTGAGCCCACATCTCCTCCATTCCTCAGCTGCTGACTTCTCATCCCAGTTCATCTTTCCCATCTCAGACACTTTAAATCCACCCTGCCACCTGGGCGCAGTGGCTCATGCCTATAATCCCTGCACTTTGGGAGGCAGAGGTGAGCGGATCACTTGAGGTCAGGAGTTCGAGACCAGCCTGGCCAACATGGGGAAACCCCATCTCGACTGAAAATACAAAAATTAGCCGGGCATAGTAGTGCATACTTGTCATTCCAGCTACTCAGGAGACTGAAGCAGGAGAATCACTTGAACCTGGGAGGTGGAGGTTGCAGTGAGCTGAGATCGTGCCACTGCACCCCAGCCTGGGGGACAGAGTGAGACTCCGTCTCAAAAAAAAAAAAAAAAAAAAATCCACCCTGCTGACAAATTAATTTTCTTAAGTCCCTGCTTCCATTGCATTCCTCTCCTGCTCAAAACTCTCTGTGAGAGCTCCATTTCCTGCAGGTTGGGGGCAAACTCTTACTCAGGCATTCAAAGCCTTCCACAAATGGCCAGAGTCAGTCCTCCCTCTTCATCCCCATCACCTTCCCCTTGTCACCACCCTGCCCCCTGCACCATCCTCTCCCTTCTCCTCCCAACAGGAAGAGGCTGGAGCTGAAGTCCCAGCTTCATCACTTTTACCCTTATAGGAGCCCTCAGCCTCCTTCTCCTCTGTCAGGTAGGGTGATGAGTTTACCCAGTACACTGTGAGTTCTTGAGGGCAGGGGTCCAGTTAGGTTCCTGAATGAGTCTCTACAGAGACTCCAGAGTTGCACCCCAACCTCATCCTCCCGAAAGGAGGCTCCAGGCAACACTCTGTGCCCCTAGCTGGCTGTCCATCCCTTGCGAGTAGAAGAACAGCTTTGCTTCTCTGGATCTCCCACAGGGCCTCTGGGGCTCTGTGCCAGGGACATAGTAGGGTAGTTAGCGAGTTGCCTGATCTTGAATCCGTGGTTTTCACACTTTAGTGAGCCTTATCATTCCTTGGAGGGCAGGGGGGAAGCTTGTTGAGAAATGCAGATGCCGGATCATCCTTTAGACATTCCGTAGATCTCAGGTGAGACCCCACATTTTTAACAATGCCACAGGTGATGAGACAGGTGGTCAGAGGAGACACTTGAGGTTTGGTGTACTTCTTTGAATGCCCACAGGCCACCTACTGTGTATAAGGCACTGTGCAAGGGGCTCAAGGGATGAAGGTGAATGAGATGCCACCTGGGACCTCACATCGGTTGCAGTGGTTATGATGAGGAGAAGGAAAACGAGGCAGAGTTAGTTTCAGAAATCAGCATGTGGACTCAGGCTTCAGCCTTGGATCTGAAGCACAAAGGTGTGGGCGAGAGCAAAGGCGAGACCTGGAAACTGTAGGAGCCAGCGAATTGGGCAGGGAAGGGCCTGAAACCAATGAGATGCAGCCTGGGACCTCACATTGGTGGCAGTGGTTAAGATGAGGAGGAGGAAAACGAGGCAGGGTCAGTTTCAGAATTCAGCACGTGGACTCAGTTCAGAGTGGGAGGCAAAATAAAAAGCAAGGCAGCCTCAAAGAGCAGGAACTGACAGAATGGAAAGTGAGGAATGTGAAAATGGTCACCAGTCGTTTGGCCAATTTCCCAAATGCCCTGCTTTCTGGTCTGGGCCTGCTTTTAACAGGTCATCTACACCTGGGAGGCAGTGCAGTGGGGCGTGGCATTGGCATCTGACTCTGGTGGGTTCAATGCCTGCCTGTGATTGTGACCTTGGACAAGATGCTTAGTTCCTGAGAGGTATTAGTTAGGGCTCTCCAGAGAGACAGAACAAGTAGGATATATGGAAGGGTTTTTTTTTTTTTTTTCTTTTGAGACGGAGTTTCACTCTTGTTGCCCAAGCTGGCCAAGCTGGAGTGCAATGGCACCATCTTGGCTCACTACAACCTCTGCCTCCTGGGTTCAAGCAATTCTCCTGCCTCAGCCTCCTGAGAAGCTGGGATTACAGGTGGCCACCACCATGCCCGGCTTTTTTTGTATTTTTTAGTGGAGATGGGATTTCACCATGTTGGCCAGGCTGGTCTCAAATTCCTAACCTCAGATGATGTGCCCACCTCAGCCTCCCAAAGTGCTGGGTTTACAGGCATGAGCCACTGCACCCAGCCCTGGAAGGGTGTTTATGAGGGGAAGTTGGCTCACGTGATCACAGAGGTGGAGAAGTCCCACGATAGGTTGACTGCGAGCTGCAAAGCCAGAGAAGCTAGTAGCTGGCTCAAGCGGGCAGCGTGGCTCAATCCAAGTCTGAAACCTCAGAACCAGGGAAGCCAACAGTGCAGCCCCCAGTCAGTCCTGAGAGGTCCCCAGGAGGCCTCTGGGGTAAGTTCCAAAGTTCAAAAGCTGAAGAACCTGCAGTGTGATATCTAAAGGCAGGAGAAGAAAAAGCGTCTCACTCTGGAAGGAGGAAAGGAAGCAGAGAGGACATTCCCCTTCCTCTACCTGTTTGTTTCTGCTGGGCCCCCGGCTGATTGGATGGCGCCCACCCACACTGAGAGCAAGTCTTCCTCTCTTGGTCCACTGGCTCACACATCAGTCCCCTCTGGAAACAGTCTGACAGACACACTCAGAAATAGTGCCCCACCAGCCATCTAGGAACCCCTCAATCCTGTCAAGTTGACATCTAAAATTAACCATCACACCGAATCACTCTCTGTGTGTGTAAGAGTGTAGTAAGCCAAACGGTGGCCTCTAAAGATGTCCACATCCATATCCCCAAACTTGTGAATATGCTACCTGATGTAGTAAAACGCATTTTGCAGATGTGATTAAATTAAATGGATGGGGAGAGTATCCTGGATTACCCAAGTGGGTTCTGAATGCTATCACAAGGGTCCTTACCACAGGGAGGCAGTGAGAAGATATAAAGACAGAAGCAGAGGTCAGGGAGAAGGTGCTACGCTGCTAGTGGTGATGGTGGAGGAAGGGTCCACAAGCCAAGGAATGTAGGTGGCCTCTAGAAGCTGGAAAAGGCAAGGAAGTAGATTTTCCCCTGGAGCCTCCAGAAGGACTCATCCCTGAGGACCCATTGCAGACTCTTTTAACCTCCAGAACTCTAAAAAAATAAATTTGTGTGGCTTTTAACCATGAGGTTTAGGTAACTTGTTACTGACACCGTAGGGAACTATGACAGACACAGAGAATGCTAATTCTCTTCACGGTTGTCATCAGGAGGGCTCAGAGCCCATGTAGGAAAGGGGCCTAACACAGTAAAAGTAGTGATACTGCCCATAGGGGCTGAGTCTTAGACAAGGTGAAGAATGTGACTGCACCCACCACGTAGCTTGACACCTTGTGGATGCTCAACAGAGCTTAAGCTCACTGTCCCTCCCCTTACAGGTCACGGTGTCTAGGAGAACCCCATCAGGGAGGGGCTCTGGGAAACCTGTCCTAGTCTGCACCCTCTACACTGTGCAGGCACCTAGGCTCTTGGCTCCTGTCCCTCAGTGATCAGCATGTGTGCCAGGTGGTCATTTCCTGGCCCTTCACCTCTCCTGAATTTACCTCTGAGGTTGCTTCTCTGTTAACTCAGACACACCAGCTCCCACCTCAGAACTCTTTGGCCCTTGGAATCTTTGCCACATAAAGTTGCCCTTTCCAACTGCCTGCTGTCCTTGCAAGTGGCTTCCCTGTTGCTCCTTCCCAGAAAGGACTGCTTGTCATGTGATTTCCTTGTCTCCCCGAAAGGTTCCAAGACTGTATGGGGTCCCTGGCAGCCCCATGCCATACCTGCTCCAGATGGCCCGTGGACCTCTCCAGTATGGAGACGAGAGGTAGACCAGGGTCTGGGCAGTGGTGTCACTCAGAGGATAGGGTGCCAGACATAGGTGGCTCTTCTCTGAGCTCTCGGAGGGTGGACAGCTGGGCCCCAGGCCAGCAATGAGCACACAGACTCCTTTGTCTCCCAGCACCCTCAGAAGGCTGTCCCCTCTGGCCTCTCACAGGGACATTCGTCTCGGCCTTCACTGTGCTGTGCGGGGCCCGCACCGACCTCCCGGACAGGCATGTGTGCTGCGTCTTCTGGCTGAACATTGCAGCAGCCCTCATCCAAATCCTCACGGCCATCGTCATGGTGGGCTGGATCATGAGCATCTTCTGGGGCATGGACATGGTCATCCTTGCCAGTGAGTAGCTGCTGGTGCTGCGCCTCCTGGGGGTGGGGGAGTGACCAGGGACAGGAAGGACTTGGGAGGCCTTCATGGCTGGCTGAGGTCCTGCTCACCCACTAAGGACGGGCTCTGGAGAGGGCTTGCCTGTGCCCTCTTCACAACTCCCCAGGCTGCTTGGCACAAGGGACCCTCCCCACCAGGCCTGGCCCAACACCTGCAGGGAATTATGAGTTCATGGCAGGCAGAGTTCCATCATTTAATACAAACTTGATTCAGACACAGAATGGTTTTGTGAAGGGGTTTAAAGTTACAAAATCAAGTTTACCAAAGACAACTCAGTTACCCTTTCTAAAATAACCTAGCAAAATCTTAAAACAGACTCCACCCATTTTAAGCAGCTGTACTTGTCTCCCATACCACCATCCACGTTCCTTGTATTTTCCCACGCCTATCTACCTGTGAGGACACAGTTCCTCAATAATTGACCTCACCTCTCAGGCACTTTGGCCTCACTCCATACCCCATGCCCCTCATTATGTCCTATACCCCCCAAAACCATTCATAGCTGGGATCTTCAGTGCCAGAGGTAAGCTGAGCCTGGTGCGGGTGTCAGAGGCAGGAGGGGGAACTCAGGGTTCAGGGGCCCTAGAATTATGTAGAATGATCTATAGTCAACTCAGCCTCAGTTCAGGATCCTGTGAATATCCAAGACCAAGAGCACACATAAATGGCAGGACAAGGGTCAGTGACCAGTTAGGCCACCAGACCAGAGAAGATGCAGGTAGACACAGAGCCTGAGGGAGATGCAGTGGAGTGTGGTCAGATGGGCTGCCCAGAAGTGGCTCCTCCAGCAGCAGAGATCGGGGAGGAAGTGGGTCAGCTGCACTGCCAGGATCTCCCAGAATCAGAGTAAGCCAACCAGATGCTGGCAACCAGGGGCAGCCAGAGCAGGAGAACTCCAGGTTGGACCAGCTGCTGAGCAGCAAGCTACCCCAGGGAGGAATGAGCTAGGAAGTGGCAGGGAAGCTGCTCCTTCTTCCTGGGAGGGGTGTGCTCAGGGCAAGGGTTGCCCTGTCAGAGAAATATTGTGAGGTAAGCCCAGCAGGCAGGCCCTTGCATCTCCTTCATGGGATCTCACCCTCCAGGCATGTCCAGGGGCCACTTTCATTTGTCTAGAGAGATGAAGAACATGACTGATAGGAAGGAAGTGCTGCCAGTCCTTGGGTGAGTCCTAAAACTGGGTCCCGACAATTTTACAGAGGAAATTTGCCGCTTCCCCAGGGGCCTGTGGTCTGCAGGCTCCTGACCCTGTTCCCAACTGGAAGCTGGGAGGTGCTTCTGCCTTTGGAAGGTTGAAGGCTGCCCAATTTGTGCAAGATGAGCCCCTCTTACTGGCTCATCTTCTCTCAAACTGAGCATCTGGCCAGGCACTGGGGACCTGAGTAAGGAACCTCTGCATTAAAGCGGAACATGACTGTGTCACAGGGTAGGTCTCAATAATGTATGTTGATGCCTCATCTGATCTCTAGAGCTTTCTGGTACACTTGTCTTTGATCTCCTTAGTACCCAGGAACCAAGAGGTTGGAACCTTAGAGATAACTTAAAGAGCTCCCTTCATCATGCCCTAGACGAGGCACTGAGGCCCTAGAAGTGCAGATGGGGATCCAGTCACTTCCTCACTTTCCATTGCCCCAGGCTGCTGACTTGGCCAGAAACTCCTCTGCTGTGGCTGGTGTGGGGCGCTAACTGGGCTGCAGGATAAGCAAGTGCAAGAAGCTGCAGCCCCCACCTTTGCCACGCAGCCTTCACTGGGGGCAGTGTCAGCCCCTTTGTTGTCTGCACACTGTTTCCAGGGTTGCTGTCTTTGCATCAAACTTTTGAGAATGCTTTTAGGGGTGTATTAGTCCATTTTCACACTGCTGATAAAGACATACCCAAGACTGGGAAAAAAAAGAGGTTTAATGCACTTATAGTTCCACATGGCTGGGGAAGCCTCACAATCATGGCAGAAGGCAAGGAGGAGCAAGTCACATCTTATGTGGATGGCAGCAGGCAAAGAGAGTTTGTGCCAGGAAACTCCCATTTTTAAAACCATCAGATCTTGTGAGACTCATTCACTATCACAAGAACAGCACAGGAAAGACCCATCCCCATAATTCAATCATCTCCCACCCAGTTCCTCCAACAACACATGGGAATCATGGAAGTTACAATTCAAGATGAGATTTGGGTGGGGACACAGCCAAACCATATCAGGGGTATAGACTTGAGGGCTGCATACAAAAACCAGTCACACATCATTCTTGCCCACTGCCTGACTCCCAGACTCATTCACCCATCTCAGCAAGGGAAGCCTTTGCATGTGTTTTCCCACAACTAATCCCACCCCCAAAGGGTGAATAGTTGCCACTCATAAGATGGTGCTGCAGGTGGGATTACTCCCAGCAACCATGGAACTTGTGTGTCCGAGAATGAATCCTTTGAAGGGAATAAGTACAATGGACTTTCCTATCCTAGAAGACAGTTGGATAAGGGACTCTTCTTTCTGGTGTCACTCCAGCTCCTTGCTATAAAAATGGAGGAAACTTTTCAGTTGTAACAATACACCTTGGTTTTTCACATGGCATTGCCTGGGGTGTCATCAGCAAATACACCATCATGAAAAACTCCTAAAAGGGGAGTCAGAGAAATCTAGATGAAAGTGGGAGCTAAGATCAGGAACTTGCAAGCATGTTGCTTGATTTATATGAATAACAACAAATAACAATCAACAATACCCTGTCAGTAAATACTTGGTAGCTTTATGGTGGGCTCTTTCTACTGCCATGCCCATGGCAGACATTGCTAATCAATCATGACACTTTCTGCTGACCAATCTCACATGTTCTCAGCACAGGGCTTCAGGCAGTCACTACTAATTGATCCAAGAGGTCTGAAAGATAAAACCTGTTTGCCACCCTCTGGCCTGGGTCTTCCCCAAAATATTTTTATATATATGGCTCCTCTCCATAGAAACAGCTAAGCACATAGCTCAGACAGAGCCAGTGTGGGACCAGGATGGGACACATTGGCATCTTTAGATTGCTGTAGTCAAAGCTCTAGCTGTCCAGGAGCTGCCACTCATGTCCATCTGGAATTTATCTGGAGAAAGGCATGAGCTGAGGATGGAAAAAAAAAAAGGGCTGGGTGCTGTGGCTCATGCCTATATCTCAGCATGTTGGGAGACTGAGGCAGGAGGATCACTTGAGACCAGGAGTTTGAGGCTGCAGTGAGACATGATCATGCCACTATACTCCAGCTGGGCAACAGAGCAAGATTCTGTTTCAAAAGAAGACAAGAATAAAGAATGAAGGCAGCAGTGTGGGCATGGCCAGGATATGGAGGGCTGGGGAGGCAGTGGACAGAGCTCACTGGCAGTGTGAGAGCCCCTCGCTGTGCCCCTAGCTATGCCCACACACCTGGTGGGCAGACTGCTGGTCACTGTGGCTGTCACCGTGAGCACTGAGCACTCCCTGCCTGGGGATTGGCATCTGAGAAACCGCTGGCATGGCCCCTGTCCCATCTCCCGGGCCTCACCGTGGATCCGCTTTGTTTCCTGTGCGGAGCGTTCCCTATGGCTCTGTTTTCAGGCTGTGTTTTCTCTTCTTCTCTCTCTCTTCCTCCTGCTGCCTCCCACTCTGTGCTGCTGCAGTTTCCCAAGGTGAGTCTGTGGATGGACGTGCAGGCCTCGTGCTGCTGCTTGGGGCCCTCCCCTCCCCTGAGACCCCCGGTCCTACACACAAACACCCTACCCGCTCTCCCAGTGGGTCAATGGGCTTTTATGTTTAGCTTTAACTTTTGATTTGGAAAATGATTAAACATAGAGAAAAGTAGGGCCCCTAGTAAAATGAGGCCCTAATGCCCACACCAGCCTCAACCACTATCAATTCATGGCCAGCCTCTTTTCCTCTGTCATTCCCTACATCTTCCCTACCACAGCATGGGTTTATTAGCACCCAAAATTGAGAAATACTCTGCAAAATGAAGAGAAAAAGCAGCTCAATACACTGAAGCTCCTCTTCAGACTAAGTTCACTGGCTAACAGGAATAACCACTCAGCAAATTCTGCTCATGTAATAGCAGCTGGGAATATTTCAGTAGGTATCTTTTTTTTTTTTTTTTTTTTTTTTTTTATCTTTTGAGACAGAGTCTTGCTGTGTCTCCCAGGCTGGAGTACAGTGGCGCGATCTCGGCTCACTGCAACCTCCACCTCCTGGGTTCAAGTGATTCTCCTGCCTCAGCCTCCCGAGTAGCTGGGACTACAGGCACGTGCCACCATGCCCGGCTAATTTTTTGTATTTTTAGTAAGGTGGGGTTTCACCATGTTAGCCAGGATGGTCTCGATCTCCTGACATAGTGATCTGCCCGCCTCGGCCTCCCAAAGGGTATCTTCTTAAAAAAACAAACACAATACCCTTTCACACCTAAATAAAGCAGTAACAATTCCTTACTATCCGCAGAGCTCACTTTTTCCCTAAGGACTCATGATCAATATTTTAAAGGTTTAGCCTTCAGGCACCTTTTCCTGCTGTAATGGTCCAGCAGGTCGGAAGCATACAGGGATAGCTGCTCCCCTCTGTATGCCATCTTTCTCCTTTCTTCCTCCTCTCCATCCACCCATAGCAGATTCTTAACCCTCAGGGAAGCCTGCCTGGCACCTGCTCCCAAGGCTCTGCATTGGGAAATCACACCAGACCAGTCTATGAGTGGCTTCCTGATGTGGGTTCAGGAGCACGTCGTTAGCCTTTTAACTCCCACCCCAAATGCCAGCCCGACAAACATTCCCAGTAGACCCAGTACTCCACACTTCCTGATTATTTTGTTTCTCATTAGAAAGTCAAAGCCCTTGGGAAAAGCAGTGCTCTGATGGTAGCAGTCATTTATACCTTAGTATAAACAAGGCCTCCTGTGTGCATTCTGGGCTAGGGGCACCTCCTGGAGAAATCCTGAAGGAAGCAGGTGTCTAACCATCTCTCCTTTGCTTCTTCCTCACAGGCTACAAGGAGCAGGGCATCCCACAGCAGCTGTGAGCCCACGGGAGCCGCTGGGGAGATCCAGGGGGGCCCTGTGAGGGCTGCACCAGGCAGCTTTGGGCACAAGGACCTTTACATGTTCTCTTCTGCCATTTTCTGGACTGGGGGTGGAAAGGGGGTATTTTTAAAAATATTATTTATTTTGAAAACGCATCTGCTTTTCTCAGCAGGTTGTGAGGCCTGCCAGCCCCTCCCGCTCCGGAAAGCACTGTGGGCGCAGGCACCAGAGCATCAGAGAGCGGGGTGGAGATGAGAACGCCCACAGAGAGGCTGGGATGCTCCAGCAGGCTCCAACCGGCCTTGCTGTACCCACTGCCCACTGCAAGGGCACGCCACAGCAGCTGGGCCGGGCCACACCAGGCCCTGTCTGGGTGAGCAGGGGCTCACCAAGGGGACAGGACCGTGGTAGACCCGTCCTCTGGGACCCCACCCGCCTCAAAATCTGGTGCCCTCAAATCTGAGTGTTTACCGTGTGGTCTCCTGGGGGCAGCACCAGGGTGGGGGTAAGGATGGCCAGGCTCCACTCTAGCGTGGAAAGGCCCACTGTGCCCAGAGCCGGCCTGAGACCAGTCCCACAGGCGTCTCCTGGGCCTGCCTCCCTGACCGCACCCCTGCCTCCTCGCAGCTGAAATCTAAGGGCTGGGTGTGTCGTGACCTGTGTTTTCCTGGGAAGGAGAGGAGTGGCTCCTTCCCTGGGGTGAAACTGCCAGAACTGCCAGATGTTTATATACAAAATTATTAGACCGAAGCAGGAGTGAGCAGACTAGCAGTCTTTCGCCCAATACTTAAAAGCATTTCTGGCCCACATTCCTTTTTCTGAAGTCATTGGGGCCAGATGTGTCTCTCAATTGAGAAATTTTAGATTTGAGAAAGACAATGCGATCCATTTATCGTACGCTTTCTAACTTCCCGGCAGAGTGTGGAACATCCCGCCTACCATCAGGCACGTGAATATTTCTGCGGAGAAACATGTGACTAGTCCCATCAATTGGGATCTATACAAACTGTAAATAGCCTCACCTCAGTTCAGTCTAATTTTACCACTAAGTAACTTAGGGAAAAACTTACCATTTGAGAGCTTTTGGGGTTTCAGAATTGCAAGAACAATTGTATGAGGTTGTGGACCTGGATCTGCAAACAGATGCGTTAGGAGGGTAAAATTGTCGGCATTACACAGGGACTCCTTCGGTTGCCAAGGGACCACAGGCCTCTTTAAGGAGCCCCTCTGTAAGTGATTGGGACCGGACTAGATCCCTAATGGGGCCGGGAGTGGGGAGAATCTAGCAGAAGTTGTCCAGACTACTGTGGATCAAGTCTCAATCAAGAGAAATCATACTAAGAGGATGGACACTTACATATCTGTTTCCTTTCCTTTCCTTTTCATTCTAACATAGGAAATGCTAACAGGTGGAGCTGGCCCAAAGTCAAGCTTCTGACTCCACTTGACACAGTGCCATTGGGCGTGTCCCTCTTTGAAGGGCTTGTTTGTCTATCAGAGACTCTGTCAGAACTCCCTGAGGGCGGGAGAAGGGATTTTGCTAGATCAAAGTGCTTGGGAAGCAGTGGCCACCATTCTGGGGGTTTCAGCCCACCTAACCCATCCACTGGGCTTTCTAATCACAGTCCTGCCTGAGGAGCGGGCCCTGCCACCCACCCCTCAGCATGGATCCCTTAGCTACTATCCGTCTTCCATTGCCACCTGGGGCTGGGCTGCTGTTTTTGAACACCTGGCAGTGTCTGTCGTGTCCTGTCCTCTCTTCTTACAGACCCCAACCCAGGCCTTTGCCTTCTTCTCTCCTGTTTGGAAGCCTCTGTGTCTTCAAGGTGTGGGATCAGATGTGGTTTTCTCTAAAAAGCTAGAACCTTCTGCTGTGTGCAGCAGGCATCCTCCAGGCTGGTGCTCGCTGCTCTTGAGGAAGCTGTGTCAGAACGGAGCCGCCCCTCTACTCAGATAAAATAGCTTCAGCTGCAGGAAGCCGCCCCCTCCCATGTCCACCAGCCCACAGCCCTTCACCCCACACCGCCCCCAGAGTTTGCCCGACACCCCCTGAGTGATGACAGGTCTCAGGAGGGGCCGCCCCCACACATGGGAAGGAGCAGCTTATTTTCCCGGCTTGGGCTGGGGGCGGCTGCTGAGGGGGTGAAGAAGAGATAGCAATTTATGTCGCATGTTTAGTGACACAATCCAGACGCAGGTGGGACTTTCTTGAGTGGCAGGTGTCACCCTGGGTCCCGTGTGGGACGGCTTAATACAAGGGTTTCTTTGTGTGCGTGGAGGGCCATTGTGCCCCCAGATCCTCCTGTCCCCTGAGGGCTGTGTCTCTAAACCTGGGAACACATCAGCCTCAGGAGGAGGCCCCTTTCCGCGTAACTGATGTGTAGGAGAAGCCAAGAGGCCCCTGCCTGTCTCCTGAATGAAGCTGTGAGGGTTGCCACGTGGGCGGGACCAGTTCAGAATAGCGCCCCCGCCCCTCTAAATTAGACTGTGGTCTCCAGCATGATCATCTTCAGTAGGTAAGGGACAGTGGCTGATTTACTCCAAGTAGTTCCAGCTGGCCACTCAGACCAGGGCCAGAGTTAACTTCTCAAGCACCAGCCAGCTGAAAATTAGGGTTCTCATGCCAGCAAGTGCTTGGTTGACACACAGTCCTTTGGTGACAAAGTTGGGCTTTGCCTGGATAGTGCAGACAAGGCTGCTGGTTCAGAAGCTGCAGGGCACGTTCCAGGTTGGGGCCTTTTGTCCGTTGGAATTCAATAGGACGCTCCCTGGCTGTGGGTGTTTAGGGCAGGAATCACAGGCTTGCAGAGAACACCAGAGGCAATGAGATGCTCCCAGTACCCAGCTGTGACATGGGGATCAGGGTGGCCATTCCCTTGGGTCAGAGTGGGAACCTAAAGCCAGAGTGAGCTGTGGGTAGCCTGGGTGTGACCTGCGGATGGTGGAGACTGTTGATTTGGATGTTAAGCTCTGAGTCAGTTTTAGAACCAAGGACCTCAGGCTGAGAAGGCCAGGTCCCCATGGGAGTGGCAGGATTCTGATGGCTCCTGGCTGTGGTCCCGGCCCCCGGCCCACGCCTAACGCTGGGGCTGCAGAGCTCTGCTGCCAGTGCCCACTCCAGCCGGCCACGCCGCTGGCCCTGCTATGGTAAGGAAGGGGCAGGCAGCATGGTTCCCACCCTCAGTTGCCCCAGACCCACACATCCAGCCCTAAGAGCAGCCTCACCCAGGCACGGTGCAGGGCATTTTAGCTGGGAGGGGAGATGCCTTTGTGAGTTTCACATGTCAGAGCAGAAGCTCCAGGAGAGAATAAGCCGTGTGCCCCAAAACACTCGGCTCCTAAGTGGCAGGACGGGCAAGTGGCCAGGTTGGGCCGCCCTCACAGCCTGTGCCATCCACACACTCGTTACAGCACTCCCAGAAGAAGGAGCAGAATTGCAGGCAGCCCAGAGCAGTCCTGTGGAGGGGTCCTTGCCCCGCAGGAGTAATAGGGTGATTATGTCACATGTGTAGTGACATAATCCCACCTGCATCTGGATTGTGTCACTAAACATGCGACGTAAATTACCATCTCTTCTCCATCCCCTCAGCAGCCGCCCCTACCCCAAGCCAGGAAAATAAGCTTCTCCCTCCCGTCTGTGGGGGCGGCCCCCTCCTGAGACCTGTCATCACTCAGGGGGAGTTGGGCAAAACCTCCTGGGAAGGTCTCCACCCTGCCCCACAAGGCTCCATACTCCCACCTGCCTGGGCAGCCCTCACACCCATGCTCCCTCCTTTAGGCAGGCCCAGAAGGGTGCCCCTTCCTGAGGGTGTCGGGGAATGGTGGCAGAGAGAGAGCTGGTAGTAGGAGCTTCCCCATCCTAATGCGGAGGACCAAGTTGCCCACTCTCCCAGCCCGGGGCTCCAGCCATGCTGGCACAGGCATCTCAGAGGTGTGAGATGAACTCCGCCTCATGCAGGACGCTCAGGGCTCGGGAGCAGTAAGGAGGAGGCTGCAAAAAGGAACTGCAGAAAGAAAAAAAAGGAGTATGGTTAACTTTTCCCCAGGAGGGCAAAGGGGCCCGGCTCTCAAAAAGAAAAGCCAGGCACAGACCCCAACACCAAGTGTAAGGCAGCGCAAAGCGGGGCTGAAACCTCAGGACCGGGGTCAAAGGCTTTCCGAAGGCCCGAGGTCCTTGAGGAGGAGGGGAAGCTAAGAGGGCCTTGGTCCTTCTGCACCAGTGTGGCTCTTTAAAATACAAAACACCCCTGAAGCCAAAAACCCTGAAACCTGTTCTTTAGCTAACCCCTTCCCTGCCCAGAGGCCTGCAATTCCGAGAATTCACTTCAGTTTTGCCAGGATCCAACCCCTGGGCCTGAGGGTGGAGAGCCCGGCCTCCTCAGAGTCCCTTCTAGGCTCCTGCGCCCACTTTAGGTTTTAATTGCATTGGCTGTTTCTTATAGTGTTAGTGAATTTTGCAAAGAAAGCCCAGAGCATTGCACAAATGTTTGGGGTCAGTGTCATTTAAATGGAAGTTCCCCAATAGTGGCTGAAAGCAGAGTTTACTGTTATTCCTCCCTCTTGCTGGCTTTGTTGGAGGGTTTTTACTGGAGGGATTGGAAGTGGGAGAGCACTTTTAAAGTGCACCCCACCCCCTGCACCCCAGCTGCACCTAAGCTCCCCAGAGGCCATGACCTTGTATGTGGCTGGAGGCCTCCGGCTTAGGGTGCAGCCTGAGGCCTTTGCTGCCAATCGTCCCAGGAAAGAAGCCGGGCCTCAGGCTGAAGAAATACAGGGTTTCCTCTCCAGAGGGTTCAGTGAGCACTCAGGTAGTGGCCTCGGGCAGTCCTCACCAGGGGAACACCTCTATGCTTTGCATTAATTCGTCAGCAAGCGCTCAGTGAGAGCTAAAGTGGACCTGGTGGTCCTGTGCTTGGAAAGGATGCCCTCACCTCCACAATCCTGCCGTCCCAGCCTCCACAGGTGAAGCTGCAAGGTGAGCAGAGGCAGGTGTGGGGACGTACTCCTCCAGGACAGGACTGCCCCTTCTGCCTCCAGAGACCGCTGTGCACTGGGTTTAGGGATGAGATGCCAGCCTAGTCAGGGGAGGTGACTGTGGTCCTTCTGACTGGCTTGG